TGGCAGTGGGTGTGGTTTGGGCTTTGCTTCTGTGAAGACTGACAGCCTTGGAGACCCTGTGGGCAGTTCCACTCTGTCCTCTAGGGGCGCTGTGGGTTGGAATTTACCCCACCGCAGTGGGGTGTGATTTGGGCTTTGCTTTCCTGAATATTGACAGCCTTGGAGACGCTGTGGGCAGTTCCACTCTGTCACTTGGGGTCATTATGAGTCGATATGGAGTCCGTGACACCCAGTATAATGACGGTGGCCACAGCTGTCTGTCTGATTACAGAGGTGGCCTGTTTGCTAGGTGGTGGAGGGATGGATGTCGCCTGGCACAGGGGATGGTGGTCTGGGTTTGGAGGGACAAGGGCAGCTGGCAGGTGAATGTGGAAGATAACATCCCAGAAGAGTGTGGGGGGGGCTCTGAGGGATTTGGAGGTGTGGCAGCCAAGCGGAGGGGTGCGGCAGGGAGCCTGGAGCTGGCGGTGGGTGGGCTTGGCTGAGCGCTCACGCTCTGCTGGTTCCCTGCTCAGGGCACGGGCGTGCGGAGGAGGGCTGTGCTGATGAGCGTGGCCGGCACCGGGAGGAGCGACTGCTGGACGGACGGCTGGACCGGGACCAGGAGAAGCTGCTCAGGTGAGGCTTGTGGGGAAGGGCGGCTCTGCTGGGTCTGGGGGCCTGCCCTGTGGAGCCCTTAGTTCTTTGCCAAACCTCACTGCTCCCATCCGTGCAATGGGTACAGGGCTGTCCTGACAGTTGACAGGATGCATTCGGGTGTTGCCCAGCTCTGGGCCTGGCAGTCGCTTGGTGAACAGGGCATAGTGTTGCAGAGACCATCTGTGCCCTGACCATGCTGGGTGCCAGGGTCTTAGTGGCCAGTGGATGAGGTCTCTGCCAGGTGACCGTCCACACCTTTCTTTCCTGAGCAGACTGGCTGGCTCTGTAACCTTGACTACCCGAGGGAGGGGGCCGAGGCCATGCTGGGATGGGTGGGGACTCTGGGCACAGGTGACCTTGGGGTAGAACAACACCTGGACCCCCCCCTACTGGTCCTTGTGGCCACATCCCACTGTCCCCACCCAACCCTGGGGGCTGGTGGCCAGTTGGTGGCTGATTCCCCTGTACCCCTTCCAGAGAAAGCAAGGAGCTGGCAGACTTGGCCCGCCTTCACCCCACCAGCTGTGCAGCCAGCGGCCTGAACCCCAACCTCATGGTAACCGGGGGCCCAGCGCTGTCGGGCTCCGGCCGCTGGTCTGCTGACCCCGCGACCCACCTGGCCACGCACCCCTGGTTACCCCGCTCGAGCAGCACGTCCATGTGGCTTGCTGGACATCCCTACGGTGAGTGGGGGTGTGGCTGCGGCTGCGGGGGGGGCAGGTATCCCTACGGGGTGGGTGGGCAGGGGCAGGGCTAAGACTGGGGAACCCTACAGTGAATGGAGGTGGGACTGGGCACCCCAATCATGAACGGGGGCTGGGGGAACACTCCTACAGTGAGGGAGGGACCTGGTGTGAAAAGGGGCAGGGCTGGCTGGCTGGCTGGCTGGGTGGGCATGGTAGCCCCCACCCCCTCTGTGGGGGATGGGGTGTGCGTGGGGAGTGTTGGTAGATTCTCAGATGCTGGAAGGCCTTGCGGGCTGGGTGCAGGGGTGGAGTTGGTGTGGGGGGCCAGTGAGTGGAAAGGCCTAGCTCAGAGCCCCTCCACTGTTCTCTGGCCTTGTCTGTGCCCCTTTCCCCTCAAACAAAATAAAACTCCAGTCCTCTGAGAGGCTAATTCTAGTACCAGCTTTGTGGGGTCCAGTGCTGTGCTCGCTTTAGGGGAGGTAACGATGGAGGGAGACTCTGGGCGCCTGTTTGCAGCCAATACCAGCACCTGTGCCCCCTGGGCGCCTTGGACAGGGGCCTGGGACTGTGGGGGGCGGGGCAGGGGTGGCCCTGAAGGCGGTGTGGTGGACCCCAGCACTGACAGGGCCTGGTGCATCTCTCCTAGGCTTGGGTCCCCCTTCTCTGCACCAGGGCATGGCGCCTGCCTTCGCCCCCGGCCTGGGGGGCTCTCTGCCTTCGGCCTACCAGTTTGTCAGGGACCCCCAGTCCGGCCAGTTGGTGGTCATCCCCAGTGATCACCTGCCGCATTTTGGTGAGTGGGTGCTGAGGGTGGTGGGCAGGGGGGGTCCCAGCAGGACAGAGGCAGGGGCAGACCTGGGCTCGGGGAGTATACGTGACACCAGTGCTTCACACTTCACATGTGTCGAGAGCCACTGAGGTCCTTGGTTATAGGTGACATCTCACCCAGAGACTCCACATGAGAACAACACAGAGTGGCCCTGGGTGGAGGCTGGGCCTGTTCCCCCTGCAGGTCCCCACCCTCACACGGGACCCAGTTTGCAGACTGCTGCGTATGGTGGGAGAGGTTGGGGCTGGGAGGCCGGAGGACTGTATTCAGGTCCTCACTGGTCCCTTGTCAGACCGGGGCAGGGCCCCCAGTGGGCCGAAGGCAGTTCCCCCATCATCTCCAAGATGAGTCCCCTATTGGCCCCGCTGGCGCGTGTCACTGAGGGCCTCAGATGCCTCCGGGCTGTGGATGGGACCATGTTCACTGTGGCTGGGGTGCTAGTGCAGGTGGCTGACGGGCAAGGACAGGCTTCTTGGACCCCAGGGAGAAGCCCGGGGGCCCGGCCCGCCGCCATGTGCCGGGGGCCTCCTGGGCTTGCTGCAGCCTCACAGCCTGTCTCGCCTGCAGCGGAGCTCATGGAGCGGGCGGCCGGGCCCCCGCTCTGGCCGGCCCTGTACCCGCCGGGCCGCAGCCCCCTGCACCACGCGCAGCAGCTGCAGCTCTTCTCCCAGCAGCACTTCCTGCGCCAGCAGGAGTTCCTGTACCTACAGCAGCAGGCTGCGCAGGCCCTGGAGTTGCAGAGGAGCGCCCAGCTGGTGGTGAGTGGGGGCGGGGCGGGCAGCACAGGCGGGGAGCACCTGCTCTGTGTGTGTGTGCGCGCGCGTGCGTGCGGGGGGGGGCGGGGGTGTGCAGTGGAGACCGCTCCTTCCTGGGACCCCCATCGATGGTGTGGCTGAACGGTCAGTGCCTCCCAACAGTTACAGACTGTGCCAGAGGAGGCAATCAGGGAGGGCTTCCTGGAGGTGGTAGCATCAGAGCAGAAACTGTGGAAGGGCACTCCAGGCAGAGAGAACACAGGTGGTGGAGGAGCCTGACAGGGTGGGCGTTGTCAGCAGGAAGCAGTGGGGAAACCGAGGCAGGAGAGGCAGCCTTGTGGACTGGGGGGGCTCCATCTGCTACCCAAGTCCAGCCTGGCTCCTTCTCTCCACGTGGTCTCAGTGTGATGCAGGAGGGCTTGGCGGGGACGTGAGGGGTCCCCACGGTGTGCCTGGACTCGGTGGGGTTACCAGACCTCTTCCATAACCTCCACCCTGGCAGCAGTCCCTCAGGAGGCTGGTGGGGGCAGGGCCAGGAGCACATGGTGCTTGGGGCTACTGGCTTTGCCTCGTTTGGCTGGGTCCCCTGGGACAAGTGACTTAATGTCTCTGGGTTTCCAAAGGCCTGACCCAGAGATGCTCATCACCCCCACATTCCTGGCTTATGAGGGGAGGGTCAGCACCCTGGGGGCAGTTAGCCCAGTGGGCGGCGTCTCTCTGGCTGTGGACTGATGGATTCCAGTGAGCACAGCAGGTTCTGGCCTTGACATTGTGCTCACACAGCAAGGACCAGGTTGCTGCTGCCCCCCTGGGTGTTTGCGTTTCTTCATTTTTATTGTGATCTGGGTGAAAGTTTGTAGAGCAAATTCACTTTCCATACAGCAGCTCACATACACTTCGTCTCATGACAGTACAGCAGCCCCTCTCTCCCTCCCTCCCCATAGTTACCTCTTCCCTGTGTCACTGGGCCGGTGTTTGAGAGCTCACTGTGCTTGGGCTCAGAAGGCTTATATAGCAGGGAGTGGGTGTCCCCAAGGTCCTGACACTGAAGGTGTCCAGGAGGGGGTGGTGCCATCACGAGGAAACCTCACACTGGTACCCACTCTTCTGCCTGGGAGGGTCCCAGCAGGCTTCAGGCTCCCCGTGGAGCCCTGGAAAGATGCCTAGGTCCCCAGCCTCCTCGCAACCACCCTACCCCGCCCCCATCTGCTGGGGTTCTGTGCGGAACTTTCTGCTTGTTACATGCACACCATCCCGGAACCTGGATCCCAGACCCTGCCTGAACTTCTCCCCAGGCCCCAGGCCCCTGGGACGGGGTGGTATCCATGGCCACCGCCTCGCTGACTCTGCCGACTTCCTCCCCAGCAGGAACGGCTGAAGGCCCAGGAGCACCGCGTGGAGATGGAGGAGAAAGTGGGCAGGAGGGGCCTGGAGGCAGCAGGCAAGGCTGGCCTGGCCACTGCGGGCCCCGGGCTGTTGCCGCGGAAGCCCCCCGGCCCCTCGGGCGGCTACGGCAAGACCATGAGCCCACCGCCACCCCTGTCTCCCCGTGCTTCCCCCGTGGCTGCCCTGAAGGCCAAGGTCATTCAGAAGCTGGAAGATGTGTCTAAGCCACCGAGCTACGCCTACCCTGCCACCCCCAGCTCCCACCCCAGCAGCCCGCCGCCTGCCTCCCCGCCCCCCGCCCCTGGCATCACCCGCAAGGAGGAGGCTCCTGAGAATGTCGTGGAGAAGAAGGACCTGGAGCTGGAGAAGGCAGCCCCCAGCCCCTTCCAGGCCTTGTTCTCAGGTGAGCGGTGCCGACCCTTCCTGGGGTGGGCTGAGAAGCTGCGTCTGTGGCCGCCTCTGCCCGGGGCAGCCCAAGCTTTTAGTAGCGCAGGCTTTGGCCGCTGATGAGACTGGTCCCCCTCAGCTCATTCACTCATTCACTCATTCATTTGCTCTGCCTCTACCGAGTATCAGGCCTGTGATAGGCTCTGGAATGAATGAGCACACAGTCAGATGTGGGCCCTTCCCAGGGGCAGATTTCAGGTACGGCTGGATCCAGGCGCTCAAACCATAGCAACCAGAATTTTTTTTCGTCCTTCACATCCCTTCCTCGGTGGTGGCAGGACAAATGAGCGTGATTCTCCAAACTGAAAAACCAAACTCGCTGCCTCTGATTCAGTTCCGACTTACAGCGACACCCATTGGGTTTCCGAGGTGGTAAATCTTTACAGAAGTAGATTGTGCCCCGTTTTCATTCCACAGAGTGGCCGGCAGGTTTGAACTGCTGACCTTCCGGTTAGCAGCCAAATGCCTCACCCACTATGTCACTGGAGCGCCTTGCCTAGCACATACTGAGGGTTGGATGGCCATGATGATCGTAACCGCCCAGAGCTGCCCATTTGGGGCCTCCCTGCCCCGTGTGTTGAATGCACATACTCCCCTCTGCGTTTCCTGTCTGGGGACTCAGCAGGCAGATGGCTTTGGGGGCAGAACCTGTGTCTTTCCTTCTCAGTGGCTATTAGATCATGTGCTCGCACAGGGGTAGGCATGGGTTCAAATCCAGACTCTGCCTTCATGATGCTGTGTGAGCTGGGACCAGTGGCTCCTCTCCTCGGGGGAGATTCACCAGGATGGTAATGGGCAGCTCTAAGCACAGTGCCGGCCCGTGGGGTGCTCCCGTTCTCTCTCCGGCCCTCGTCTGGTTTCTGCTGAGCACCTACAGTTGCTGGCACTGGCTGAGGTGGGAGTGTCGCAGAGAACACACCAAACACAGTCCCACCCCCACCCCCCAACAGAGAACACACAAGTGGAAACCTGAGTTAAAACAAAAAAGGGGGGAATGGAACCCTATCACTATGGTATTTTGAACCCCTTGGATACCCCAACTCTGCTTTAGTGGATCCTAGGGAGCTCTGGTAGCATAGTGCCTTACACTTGACTGCTAACCAGAAGGCTGGTGGTTCAAACCCACTAACCACTCTTCGGAAGGAAGATGGGGCAATCTACTTCCGTCGTGATACTGCCTCGGAAACCCAAGGAGGGGTCGCTATGAGTTGGGTCCGACTCGATGGCACATAACAACAACAACAACGGGGGGCTGGGGGCTGCTGGCTGGAGGAGCCCAGGCTGAGAAAGGGCCGCCTGGGTCACTGTACATTTAACTAAGCATTTACTCCTGGCCCAGCTGCAGCTTCAGGTATGCCTGGATCTAGGTGCCTGAGGTGGGAGGAAGAAGAGAAAGGGGCATCTGTCCTTTCTAGGACCTCAGGGTCCTTGGGAACAAGCTGGTGACAGTTTTTCTGTCTGTGGCCCTTGGCCTCTCAGTTGCCTGACTGGAAGACACACCCCAGGCTGGCCAAGCAGAGGGTGGCTGATGGGTCTTTGTTGGGGGGGTGGGGGGGTGGCTGTCTCAGACTCTGGGCCCCTGAGGACATGGCAGCAGGAGGGCCCCTGGTTTGGCCGGGCTGCACCCTGACACTCAGTATCTTTGGCAGACATCCCGCCCAGATACCCGTTTCAAGCCCTACCACCCCACTATGGAAGGCCGTACCCGTTCCTGCTACAGCCCACGGCGGCTGCCGACGCCGACGGCCTGGCCCCCGACGTGCCACTCCCAGCTGACGGACCTGAACACCTGGCACTCTCGCCCGAGGATAAACCCATGCGCCTGGCCCCCTCCAAGATCCCTGAGCCGCTGCGAGGGCCCCCAGAGGAAGAGCCGTTGGTGGAGCGGGAAGTGAAGGCAGAGATGGAAGACCTGGACGAGAGCCCCTCGGAGCTGCCCCCGCTGGGGTCGCCGCTGACGCTGCCTGCTGCAGAGGCCCTGCCGGCCCCCAGCCCCGAGGTCGGCTGCGTAGCTGGTCTCCTGGAGGCCCAGGCGCTGAGCGCTGGGGGGCCGGGGTGCACGGAGCCCTCGGAATGCCCGGGCTTTGCGGAGAAGGCTGAAACTGGGGTCGAGTCACCAGGCCGGACAGAACTGTGTGCGGCCACCCCAGACCTTGGGGGGCGGCTGACGCCCGAGACGTTGGTGGAGGCCAAGGAGGAACCTGTGGAGGTGCCTGTCGACATGCCTCTGGGGGAGGCCGTGCCCGAGGAAGGCCTGTCCCCTGCGGCTCCCAGCGAGCCCCGGCCCAGCCTGGAATTGCATGAGTGTGACGAGCCCGCTGGGGACAAAGAGTGCCTGGGCCTTGAAGCCCCGAAGGCTGTGCCTGTGCCTGGCAGCTCCTGCTACTTGGAGGAGGCGGCGGGCTCTGAGCAGTTGCTGCCTGGCCTGGAGGACCCACTGGCCGGCATGAACGCCCTGGCGGCCGCAGCAGAGCTGCCCCAGGCCAGGCCCCTGCCGTCCCCGGGCACCGTGCCACCGGCCCTGCAGAAGCTGGGGGCAGCCCCGAGCCTCGTCTTGGAGCAGAGTTTCCTGCATGGCATCACTCTGCTGAGCGAGATCGCAGAGCTAGAGCTGGAAAAGCGGAACCAGGAGGTGGGAGGTGAGTGCACTCAGTGGTCGGCGTCTCTCGTTGAGTGATGGCACGTTTTGCATTAATTGTTGGGATCCTTGGAGGCCCAAGCCATAGAAACTCTCCTTTAAACTGGCTTATAAAAAAGATGGGGGAAATTGATTGACTTGTGGCAGCAAGGTCCAGTAGTAATTGGGTTGTGGATTTCAAATGTGGCTGGATCCAGGTGTTCAAACCAAGTCATCAGGAGTTTCTCTTTTTTCACCCCCCATTCCCAGTCTGTCTCTCTTCTGCTTTACTCTCTGTTGGCCACATTGACGGCAGGCTCACTTTTTTCGTTGGGGGTAACCTACAGTTCCTTCTAGGCTTGTGGTCCACTCAGCTCAGTGGTCTCCTTCTCTCCTGCAAGGCCCCGCTTTTCTGGTAGCTCTGACAGGGATGCGCTCTCGTTGGCTGACTTGGGTTTATGCCTTTCACAAACCCCGAGGCCAGGGAGACTGAGCAAACCATGCCTAGCGTTTGGCTGGGGTACCTCACCTCCTTCCAGTCCAGTGAGGAGTGGCCCTGAAAAGACTTCGGGAGGTCCCTTATCACCCAGCAGTTCTGCTCCTAGGTGTGTACCCGAAAGAACTGAGTACTCAAACAGGTGTTTGTTCACCAGCGTTAACTGTAGCAGTGTTCACAGTAGCCAAAATGAGGACACAACTCGAGTGGCCATCAGCGGATGAATGGATTTTAACCGGATCTGGTCCATCCACATAGTGGAATACTACTCAGCCATAAAGAGAGGTGAAGTCCTGGGCCAAACTACGACATGGACGGGCCTTGAAGACACTGTGCTGAGTGGGAGGAGCCAGGCACAGAGGACCAGGCTGCCTGACCCCACTGATAGGAGTATTGAGAGAAGGAAATGCCAGACACAAGTGGATTAGAGTTGCCAGGGGCTGGGAGAGGCAGGAAGGGAGTTACGTAAGGGGTGCTTGGTTTCTACTGGGGGGATGGAGACGTTTTTGGAACTAGGTGGTGGTGATAATTATACAGCACAGTGAATCCTCGGGGTCACTGAATTATACGCTTGCAATGGTGAAAACGGCCAAGTTTTGTTACACGTTTTACCATAGCGATTTTTTAAACTTAATTTTTATTGTGATCTGGGTGAAAGTTGACAGAACAAATTCATTTTCCATACAGCAGTTCAGACACATTTTGTCTCATGACGTTGGCTGGAATTCCCCACAGTGTAACAGCTCTCTTCCCACTTCCTCCCTGTGGTTACCTCTTCCCTGTGTCCTTCTTTCCTGTGCATTCCTGCCCCCGGAGCTATCTCCCGGTGCAAACACTGCCCTTCGGGAGGGAACCGCACGCCTGCCCGGCGGCACAGAGGGGGGCCCAGGCAGCCCTGGGGAAGTTGGTCAGGCCATCGCTGACGTTTTGGCAAATTTTTTACATATTTACAGTTTTACATCTAAGATTAAAATCATCAACAGTGTTTTGGAACCTGCCTTTTTCACTAAATATATCATTTATTTTTCAAATGTATTTTATCATGAATTGGGTGAAAGCTTACAGAGCAAATTGGTTTTCCACTCAGCAATGCACATACGTTTTGTTTTGTGACATTCATTGCAGTCCCTTCCTGCTTCTTCCCAGTGTCTCCCGTTTTCCGTAGTCCTTCTTTCCCATCCCTTCCTGCCTCCTGAGCTTTCTCCCTGGACAGATGCCGCCCTTTGGATCTCATGGTGTTGATTGTTCAAGGAGGGCGTACCTCCCGGTGTTATTGTTCACCTTAGGAGCTATTTTAAAAATATTTCTGTGGTAAAAATATATAACAAAAGTCTACTGTTCTAGCAGTGACCCAGTGGTGTTAATTACATTTACCACATTGTGCAACCATCGCTGGTAACCATTCCAATTTTTTTCACCCTTCATATGTACGTTTTTGTCCCCGAAACTCAGTGCTGAGTACTGAATATATTCTTTATTCAGTATTTTTGGAGGCTGTGAGTTTGTAGGAACTGCACAGTTTGCAGGAGTCCTGGTGGTATGGTGTTAAGTACTGTGCATACCTACTAGTCCAGGAAGGCATGGCAGTGTGCTTCTGTGAAGATTGACAGCCTTGGAGATCCTGTGGGCAGTTCCACTCTGTCCTCTAGGGGCGCTGTGGGTCAGAATGGACTCCACGGCAGTGGGTGTGGTTTGGGCTTTGCTTCTGTG